AAAAAGACACATGTACATAAGCATTCACAGCCTTTGCTCAATACTTTGTTGAAGCACCTTTAGCAACAATTACAACCTCAAGTAATTTTGAGTATGATGCTACAAGCTTGGGACAAGCTGCACACCTATTTTTGGGCAATTTCTCCCATTCTTCTTTGCAGTACCTCTCAAGCTCCATCAGGTTGGATGGGAAGTGTTGTTGCATAGCCATTTTCATATCTCTCCAGAGATGTTCAATCGGGTTAAAGTCTGGGCTCTGGCTGGACCACTCCAGGACATTCACAGAGTTGGCCACTCCTTTTTTATGTGGGTTGTGTGCTTAGAGTCGTTGTCCTGTTGAAAGATGAACCGTCACCCCAGTCTAAGGTCCAGAGTTCTCTGGAACAGGTTTTCATCAACGATGTCTCTGTGCATTGCTGCATTCATATTTCTTTCGATCCTCACTAGTCTTCCATTTCCTGCCACTAAAAAACATCCCCACAGCATGATGCTGCCACCACCACATGCTTCACTGTAGGGATGGTATTGACCAGGTGGTGAGCGGTGTCTTGTTTCCTCCAGACATGACGCTTGGCATTCAGGCCAAAGAGTTCAATCTTTGTTTCATCATATTCATATATGAGGGTATAGAGATATGTGCACGGCACTATTTTATGACATATCATTTGTGTGTGCAAATGCATGCAAGTGTCAGCAGCAGTGGTATACACAGGAATTTGAGGAGTTATTTGTTGTGCTGAAGTTTTATTTGTACACATTTGTTTCATCAGACCACAGAGTTTTTGTTTCTCATGGTCTAAGAGTCCCTCAGGTGCCTTTTGGGAAACGCTAGGCGGGCTGCCATTTGCCTATTACTGTGTAGAGGCTTCCATCTGGCCACTCTACGATACAGGCCTGATTGGTGGAGTGCTGCAGATATGGTTGTTCTTCTGGAAGGTTTTCCCCTCTCCACAGAGAAACATTGGAGCTCTTTCAGAGTGACCATCGGGTGCTTGGTTACCTCCCTGGCTAAGGCCCTTCTCCCTCGATCGCTCATTTTGGCCGGTGGCCCGCTCCAGGAAAAATCCTGGTGGTTCCAAACTTCTTCCATTTCCAGATGATGGAGGCCACTGTGCTCATTGGGACCTTCAATGCTGCAAAAAAATTTCTGTACCCTTCCCCAGATCTGTGCCTTGGTACAATCCTGTCTCAGAGGTCTAGGGACAATTCCTTGAACTTCATGGCTTGGTTTGTCCTCTAACATGCACTGTTAACTGTGGGACCTTATATAGACAGGTTTATACCTTTCCTAATCATGTCCAATCAACTGAATTTCCCTCAGGTGGACTCCAGTCAAGTTGTAGAAACATCTCAAGGATGATCAGTGGGAACAGGATGCACCAGAGCTCAATTTTGAGTGTCATGGCAAAGGCTGTGAATACCTTTGTACATGTGGTTACTTTTGTTTTTTATTTTTAATAAATTGCAAAGATTTCAAAATGAACTTCTGTCACGTATTGGGTACACCTTGCTAGTACCGGGTTAATATATGCACACATACATACACGCAGGGCTTGACAAATTTTGCTTTGAATCTAGGAACAAGCTAAAAAAGTTAGGAGCCAGTTTTTGTTTGTTTTTTAACTAACAAAGCTTTATTTTTGAAAAGAAAAAAAATCCTAAATTTACACATGAAGACTAGAACCAAGCATCATAGGCATTTATACAAGTAAAAATATGCAGCGCTAGAATGATATTGATGAGCAATATATATGCGTATATATAAATATAAAGGTTAATAAATAAATGCACTAACCAGACAGCACAAATGATTGTGCGTTGGAGTATATAAGACCTACTCCTTGGTACTCAGGAATGGAACCTATGCACACGGATGAAGTCGTCAAGGCAGGAACAAACCACCAGGTGTCATCCATCCAGGACAGGTTACCAGTCTCCAGCAGTACAGATCTCAGCCATCAGGACAGGTTATCAGTCTCACGCAATACAGATCTCGGCCATCCCTAAGGGAGGTGCCCCTAACCATTATCAGCACACCGCACGGCCCCACACATGGCTGGTGCCCCTATTGGATCAATTTATGTAAGTGTCTGATTTTTTTGTTTTTTGATGTCACCTTTATCTGAAGCAATAAAACTACTACACTATTGCGATGCATACTAGCACATTTTGACTTTTTTTTTCCCTCCAGTTTACTACTGTTTTAATTGGTGTATGCGTGAAAGTTTTAGAGTCTACAAATGACAGTGTATATATACTGGTATTTGTATTTATTTTTTCATACTAATAATTGCGCTGAATATCAACTTATAGTGGGACTGTGATAGTGCGGTGGGGAATCTGACACTGAGTGGGAGCTGACTAACTGACTTTGACATCTCCAGTGACACTAATACAGTAATTGGTGATAATCTGCACTGTCACTGTATTAATGACTCTGGGCAGGAATGGGTTAACATCTGGGGCAATCAAAGGGCTAACTGTGTGCCTAGTAATGTGTAAAGTGTTTACTGTGTGGTGACTTTACTAAGGGATGTGGCGTTTTTTTATTCCCTGCTTTTCAGGGAAACAAGAACCGGCACAACCCCGCTGTTGTTTACCAGCACAGATCTCTCACCTGTCTTCAGCTTTGCCTATCGGCATGTGCTGGAGCCAGTGACAGGGCAGCTGGATCACCGGGCACACACGTGCACGCCCCCTACTTGGAAATAAAACAATCACACATATATATACGGTTATTCTGTGCAGCTGGCCAACATTGTAGCAGTAAAACTACAGTGCATGGTCTGAAAGTGGTTAAAATCGTAATAAGCGAGCAATACCTGGAAGTGCCAGATCGCTGCTTGCCCGCAGCAGGGCTAAATTAAGACAAAAAAAACACCTGCCTGACTCTCGGAACTGCATGTCCTGGGCGTTGGATGATATAATTTGCACATCCCTGTGAAAGGAATGGCAGGAACAGCACTTCTGGCCCCCAGCCACAAACCAAACGCAGCGGAAGCATGTGGACTATCCCCAGTAGGACACAAGCCCAAGGCAGAAACACAGCCTGTCCTCTCCTCTATCATTTAAAATATACCTATGATAAAAATGAATTTCTTCATTTCTTTGTAAGTGGGTAAACTTACAAAATCTGCAGGGGATCAAAAAAGTAATATCCTCACTGTACGGGGCATTTTCCCACTCATCCCCAATGGATTTGTTATAACAGAGGTTCCTTGTGATCTACATGTTATTTCAAAGGTTCCTGTGGGACACAAAGTTTGAGACGGGATGATCTAAAACAGTAAATGATTTATTATTATTTCACCTATCTAATTGCCCTGTAATAAGGATCTGCATTATATTTTATATTATAGATTACATCTACAATAAATGGCTCCATTAGCGATATGCTCAATACACAAAGCTAACATACTAGGATATTTTCATAGAATTGGCAGTTATTTTCTCATGAGTCATCCAGTGAGATTTGGAAATAGTTACATGTCTAAAAACAGATTTGTCCGCTGCTTGTGTTATAGCTGTGCAATATTGAGCCTTTGCTCTGACTCGCACTGATGCGATTTTGGATGAATCTGAATCGCATGTCAAGAAAGATAACATGGCTTTCTATGGAGGTCATTCACACTTATGTGTTCCAAACACAATGTGATTTCCAAAAGGGTCCTGTGCATGTTTGGTGCAATGCAGTGTGTTTTTGAACCCTATAGACTTAAATCAAAACAGCAGTGAAAACGCATAGGTGTTCAAACACACTATGATTTCAGAGAGACCACTCCACCAAAACCAGGAAATATACAGTACGCTTCTTTCTAATCACAAAAATGGCCAGAACAGAAACTGCATCTTTGTAAAATTGCTGGAATTTTGGGATTTTGTTTGTTTCAAGTGAGTTTTGCATTCACATGCAAGTCTGCAGGAATGCAAAACATGCTTAAAACAGGTTGAAGGGGGGGTCAAAAGGAGGTCCGTTTTTTTTTTTTTTTCAATAAATTCTGATTAGTGATGTTTACCAAAAAATCTGTTTTTTTTTTTTTTTTTTTTTTTTAGGAAAGGGCAGGGCAAGAAAATAAATGCTGTTCAGTAGGGAGCTGGTCTTTTAAAGCGGCTTAAATAGAAAAAATTACTAGGGATGCACTAAAATTTCGGTAGCCGAAAACACCCCTTTGGGCCGTCGGCCGATATGAAAAAATAAAAAAAAGCACTGATACAGGTGCCGAAAAAACTCGCCGCTGCCGCCCTCGACTCCGCCCGACCGACCGCCGCTTGGTAGTTCTCAGCCTTACCTGAGAAACCACCGAATGATTCCAGCGCTGGGCATAGAGATGAGTGAAGGAAAGATGACCTCCACTCATCTCTATGCCCTTGGAGGACCAGACCGATGTCCCTTCCGGTTCCAGCCTTTTTTTTTTTTTTTTTAAAGCACTAGATAGCAAAAATTACTAGTAACACTTTTTAATGAGAACTGGTATGCAGTTAACAGATAAAAGAGAAAGGGGCAGTTACATGTATTTTAAACATTTTTACTTTCAAGTGTATAAATCGGACATAAGAGGGCACCAATCTCAGTGTAGAGGGTTAAAGATGTATTGGTAACAAGAGATTTAAAAACTACTCACAAACATAAGAAGTGTCCGATTTATTTTCTACAGAGTTCTGCTTCGTTCTATGGGGCGCTGCATTCACCATCCATCCACCACCTAGGACCCTTTGACTGTGGACTTCCCCTGTCTCCATTTGTCGCTTCATCGCCACCACCTCATTTTAAACTCATTACTATTGTACGCTTATTCCCCTGTTTGTATTTGTATTTCTCCTGCTGTATCCATCATTTGTCATGAACCTATCTAGACTCTTCATGTGTGGTCCTCTCCCAGCGCCGTTTTTTTTGGTTTTCGTTTTTATTCTCAAGTGTACTTCCTGTGGGTAGTATGATTTTGTATATTTTATATATTTTTATAAACATATTGATTCGGAAATTTCCTTTTTAATTACAGTTTGCAGAGGGCCCACTATTAGATGGTCTATATTGGGACATGTGGTTCAACAACAGTACAATGACAGAAAACCAAAGCTTCATCTATTTTGAGAACATGCTACTTGGGGTTCCTCGTCTCCGACAACTTAAAGTGAGGAATGGGTCCTGCACTGTGCCAGAAGATTTAAAAGATGATATCAAAGACTGCTATGATATGTATTCTGTGAGGAGTGAAGATACTGCCCCCTTTGGGCTACGAAATGGAACAGCGTATGTACCTCTGACACTGACTAATTGATTGTTTTTCAGTAAAATTGCTTTTCATGGTTAGTGGCTCCTTCAAATAAGAAGCAAATGTGTGTCTGTTATTCATGGGTAGTTTGATGTCATTGTTTTATAGTAAATGTAGAGGAATCCTAACAGAAAATGCAACAGGACTTTAAAGGTACCAAGTCATAATATTAGGTAAAAATCAGGTATTTGTATTCATATTGTTAGAAGTATTGGTTTACCTATTGTTTTATAGATCTAAAGAATCAATGGAGGTGACCAGATAATAAAGTACCTCCAGATTCATAGTACACAAAAGTAGAAAACCACCCCAGGAACTTTATCAGGCAAAAAATAAAGATATAAAAATAACAACATTTTAGTATCTTCAAAACATTTTTTTGTAGATAAAACATATGAACACCAAGTTAGGTTTCTGTTTCACATGATTTGTATCTAACACGTAAACCTGCCCCACAGTTGGGGGAACAATCTAAACCGAAAACTCACAATAATTTTTCTGATGTTTGAAGGGGTGGGGTCAGGTCACCTAATGTGTTTCAAAGTGAAAAAACTTCGTCTTTCTCTTCATCAGGGAAATAAAAGAAATCAATATATGTGGAGTAACCTTGAACAGTGATGTGTCCCAGGAGGCGGGGGGGGGGGGGGGGGGGGGGGGAGATTGGGTGAGTGACATAATTCTTGTCTGAGTGAAAAATTAGGAAATGGGAGCAAGTCCCTGTCAAAAAAAAGATACCTACTCCCAAGGCTCCATGCACACTGGTCATTTTATTAACGCTGGTAGCATTAGATATGTAAAGTCACATTAAAAATGCAAGTTTTCAGTGTTTTTGCATTTAGCCACCTTTTTACACGTTTGCAGTTTTTACACCAAAAGAAAAATATTTTTGCTCAAAAAATGCTGGTTTGCTGCATTTTTCAGCGTTAGAGCAATTTTACAGCTAAAAAACTCCTCTAGAAACACACTAGTTCTGTTTTTTTTTTTTTTCCAGCCAGAAAACGCCCCATCCAAAAAACACTGATTAAAGACTATGTGAACACATAGGATAACATGCTGGGGAGTTTACTGGCTGTAGGAAAAAAAAAACACCAAAAACAGCAGTTGTAAAAACATCCAGTGTGCATGAGGACTTAAAAAGAAAAAAACCAAAAGTGTTTGGGGAGGAGGATAAATGCCATTTTTATTTTTGAGTGAAGGCCTGCTTTTACAGCTTCATCCTTCATCATCCTTTCTTCACAGTAGTCAGGGTTGTGTCTGCAACTTGCTTGCGGGAAGATTAACCTGCTAGATGACTCCCGTATAACCCCCCGGTCACATCAAGCCCAACTTTGAAATTGTGCGACTCACAGTGAAGATGCACGATTTTAAAGTCGGGTGAGATGCAGATTTCAGGTGCGATTTGCAAGACATCTGATACAGATGTCTAGGCAAATCGCACCAAAAGAAGTACTATTTTAGAAATCGGTCGGCACCACACCGATTTGACCGCTCTAATTGCGGACAATAGGGTGCGACTTGGCATACGATTTGCAAGTCGCATGTCATGCAAATTGCATGCCAAGTTGCACCCGATGTCACCAGAATATTAGCAAATAGGATAAGGCAACCATTCTATTATTAATTTATAGAGTGGCCATACACTGGTTTACTTTGTAGTAGTATGTCCAGTTTTGAAACCGTATCTTTGTGCTGGTGCCCATTGATAATTGAGGTAATGGGTAGGAGATAACAAGAGTTGTCTCTGAATGGGGAAGGGGATCATAAGTTAACTTTTTTTTTTTTTTTTTTTTTTTGCCTAACCTCTATTTAGCCAAGCAATTTTAGGTTTGTTGTTTTCTGTTTTCCCCGTTGGGGATTTTTCCTTATTTACTTCCTGGGGAAAATGTCAGGGAAAGGGGGCAGAAATAAGAACAAGATAGAAGTTTAAAGTAGAACTATAGGCAAAGTTTGTTTTTTTTATTTTGTATTGAACTAGGGAGGGTTATAACCCAGCAGATTGTTTTTTTCACCATCTGTGTCCCATTGCGGAGATTTACCTTCCCTTTCTGTCCCATAGCCAAACAGGAAGTAAGAAGAAAAATCTGCAAATTAAGGGAATTCCTTGGGGAACCCCTAGGACACCAGAACTAGTGTCCCCATTGGAAGATTTCCCCTCTATTACTTTTCTGGGGGCAACCCATAATTTGAGGGTTTCTTTTTTTCACTTTCAATGATAATGGTAAACAGGACAAATAGAGAGGATGATTCTCCTTAATGGGGACACAGACAAAAATAAAAAAACTGACGGGTTCTAATCCCTCTCCACTTTTATCCAAAATGTAAAAGATGTTTGCCTTTAGTTATACTTTATTCCCTATTCTGCCCAAAAGTGGGAAAAACCTTTTTGGCTAAAGCTCCATTTTACCTTTTGGAACATTTGGTAGACTAATTTTGTAGAGCAACCAGATAGGTGTTTGCAAAGTAGCTTACACCGTAGAAACTTTTACACCCAGAAAGTGCCCCATTGGATACCCATAGTCATAAGATGAAAACTTGGATTGGGAAATGATTTAATGTCTGTACACTTGCTGCATCCTCTGCAAAAAGCCCTCGATTGACTGATCTGAGGAGAAGAGACCAGTGTTTCAAATGATTTTGTATGATCAGATGTAGAGTGGACCAGTGGAATTTTACTTATATTTTACTACTACATAGAATGTAGATAGTATGTAGAGCTAAGGCATTTTCTAAGATCCTTGCCCATAATGGATCATCTAGAATCCATAGCAATTTTCTGTAGCATGAGAATATTGTTTTAAAGATATTACAGATTTCATTACAACTATATTCTGTATTTCTGATTCCTTTTAGCTGGACATACACCAAAGAAAAGGACTTAAATGGCAGCAGCCAGTGGGGTCTCCTTGCCATATATAGTGGTTCTGGTTATTACTTGGACCTGTCCAGAGAGAGAGAAGAGGCTGCTGCGCAGATTGCAACTTTAAAGAAAAACATGTGGCTGGACAGAGGCACCCGAGCAGTGTTTACTGATTTCTCTGTTTACAATGCAAATATTAACCTATTCTGCATTGTGAGGTATGTTTAACGCAAATGTTAAAATGGCGTGTCAGGAAAAATATATGATGTGAATTAGTGGCTTTTATCTGACAGTGATTGTCAGCCTGGATGGAAAAGAAACTCATAAAATCTTATTCCTGGCTTTTATTCACAGCATTATACTAAATGTTGCAAAAGTGCCAACCTGAAAATGAACAGGCTGCATGAACTCTGATCCACAGCAGCACACGTCTGCTTTTTGTTCAAAACTGTACTCTACATCAGGGATTTCCAAACTACAACCCAGTATAAGTGTTCACAGCACTTGTCCCATATTTGTGTCATGTGTCTCCATGATGCAGCTAGGATGGCCACTAGCACCAAAACCAATGATGCCGTTGATCCAGGTTCGCAACAACCAGGACCGCCCCAGCATACAGAAGAGGGCTGTCCTCTGTCGAAAAGCTCAGCCTCCACCCTGTGCCATGCTGCTGCTGTGGTTCAGGTTGTAAGGTAGAACAGGACTAATGTGAAAGTGGGACTATGATGTGAAACAGGGCTTCTGGTGTGATGGGGGGACTTTCTGATGTGAAGGTTTATTCATTCATTTTTAAAACACATTTTTTTCAGGCTGCAAATATTTCTTAAACATATGATGAGACCCCCATACTGAGAAGTTTGGAGACCCCTACTTTATACTACATGGATGCAGTCTGGCTTTTGTTTTCCTGCTGATTGTATTCTATAAGTCCAGTGGGTGACAGACCTGGAGAGCTGTCAAAATATTGTACAGACGGGCCCCACTAAAATACACTAGTCTCTGGCTGCAATGTAAATCCTTAACAATCTTCTGAGATTTTTATATTTAGATTACACAAACTAAATGAGTTGTAATGTTTGTATATGTATTTTAATTGGCTTGGTAGATCAGATTTAAGTGTGTTTTGTTCAGTCTACAACCAGTATATTTCTTTCTAAATAGTGTATGATACTAGAAGTGTATCCATGTCAATTAGCTGTGTCTTTTTTTCCAAAGTATCATATTTTGTTTATTTACTTGAAAAGCAAATGGCATTTTGATTCTTTCTGATGTAAGAAATCTAATTACAGAACTGCTTTATATTATTTTTTGAATAGAGCTAATATGACGCCAATAATGTTTTTGTCATGTAGGTTATTGGTGGAATTCCCAGCTACCGGTGGCTTGGTCACATCTTGGCACTTTCAGACAGTAAAGTTAATCCATTACATTTCCACATTTGACTATTTTCTGGCTGCCTGTGAAATTGCTTTCTTTCTCTTTATACTTTACTACGTGGTGGAGGAGTTCCTAGAGATCCGTATTCATCGCCTGCACTACTTCCGAAGCCTTTGGAACTGTCTCGATATTGTCATCATTGTGGTAGGTATAACAACTGACAGGTAGAGAGTTTTTGAGACTTTTCTTTACACATCTTAAATACATTGATTGCATAGATGCAATGTAGCTATAGTTTGTCACCTGACATTGTATGACTTTTTGTCCTAATAACTACAGTAATTCTTGGTTGCTATGAAATGGGCACACACACACGATCACGCCCTGTATTTATAGACCAGGTTGCCAGATCTGACACTTTAATACATGGGGCCGTAATATATTAAACAGAAACAATTGAAGATCGCTACATTACATGTCTGTCTGTCCATCCATATGACTCAGAGGTTTGAGCATACTTGTCTTTTCTGTCTCACCTGCAGTTCTCCTTGGTGGCAGTGGCAATTGGCTTATACAGAATGACATCTGTGGAAGGACCGCTCAATAAACTCCTGGCAGACATGAATTCATTTCCAAACTTTGAATCTCTGGCTTACTGGCAAAGTCAGTTCAACAGTATTGTTGCTGTGACTGTGTTCTTTGCTTGGGTTAAGGTAAATCTTAATATGCTTTACTTGTGGTATAAATTCATTAAATTAAAAAAAAAATCCTCTTTAAAAGAAGGAGGGTAAAAAAAAAACCTACTTCCCTAGATGGCTGCACCACCAATTCAAGCTGTAGCTGTCCCCTGCCGGCTCTACATAGAGAACTGGGCAATCAAAGGCTGCTGATCGCTCAGTTCTGAGGTCCACTCTTGAGCACAGATTGGAGACTTTCAGTCACTGCTCTTCCCCTCCAGCGCTCACTGGAGTGCCAGGTTGTACATGGGGCAGGAGCAGCTGGCTCAGCCTCAGCAAGGCGTTGAGAGGCTGAGTATCAAGTACCTGGTGACAGAGGCCAATGGAGAGAGGGCTTCCCTTGCAGCTAAGTTCCAGACTCCCCTGAAGGTGGGACAGCAGGAGTCAGGCCCAGAGTAGCACAGGTTGCCTGTGGGAGTGCTTGTTTGGTGGTCCACCCAGGAGCACGGCTGATGCGCTGAGATGGGGTCTGCAGGCAGTGGCGCCTGTGCGTGGTATGCAAGCCTTCCAGGAAACTGGATAACCAGTTCGAGCCAAGGTCGGGTGCCAGGTGTGGACCAGAGCAGATGTAGTCAACCGGGATAGCCAAGGTCATACACAGAGCAGGAGAGAAGATCCATTAGACAAGCCGGGGTCAGGTCGGGGTTAAACAGAGCAGACAGGTCCAGGAGCAAGCCGAGTCGTTAACTGGAAATCACAAATCAGGATAGCACAGGAACAAGGTACTGGGAAGCCAGAGATCAACCAGCACCTGAGAGTAGTTCAGGGCTTCCGTATAAAGGCCATTTGGCGCCAAATTTGAGCCGATGTGAACTTCTGCGGCAATGCAAGGTACTGGCAGGGGTGCCAGGTCTCCAACACTTCTGCCAAGGACAAAGCCCTGACACTGAGCCAGCTGCTGGTCAGGCATCTGGGTGGATCCCGACATTATTGTTGAGATCCCAGCAGACTCTGGAGCAGCTGTGTGACGTCAACTGACAGCTGACTTTAGCCTGTGTTATGAGTTAGCGCTGTGTGTAATCAGTAAGCGCTTTGCGTGTGAAACGCGGTAACCACCAAACCCTGTTTGTGTATGCTGTGATGTTCTTATCAGAAGAAGATTGAAAAAAGTACCGGATTTTCTAACACATCAGTGTTCGATCATCCAACAATGTTTGTATACTTACTGAGATGCTAACCGGACCAGTACCATGTGTGTGGATTGGAGTTCGAAGGAGGCAGACTGACCTGGAGCAGTGTGCTCAGTTATGACTTTAGCCCGGTGTCGGCTGAATCCGTGTCACAGGAGTGCAGAACTAAGTGCACTCCTGTGACACACAGGAGAAGTATGGCCAAAAAGTGCTTTGCCCATACTTCTCCTTTAATGAACATAAATTAGTGGTGCACCGAAATGAAAATTCTGGTGCCTAAACTGAAAACGAAAATTCAAAATGCACTTGGCTGACAACCAAAATGCACAGTTTTTTAAAAATGAATATATTTTTTGGAAAAAAATACATCAATTTAAAAAAAAAAAAAAAAAAAAACTATACCCCAATTTTTTTTGTAAAATATGAAAGAGGATGTTACGGCGAGTAAACAGATACTCATAACATGTCATGTTTTAAAACTGCGCACGCTCGTGGAATGGCATGAAACTGCGGTACTTAAAAATGTCCATGGGTGATGCTTTAAAAATTTCTACAGGTTAGCAGTGTAAAGTTACAGAGGAGGTCTAGTGTGAGAATTATTACTCTTGCTCTGACGTTCGTGGCGATACCTCACGTGTGTGGTTTGAACACCGTTTACATATGTGGGCAAGGTCTACGTATGCATTCACTACTACGGGAGGACGGGGGCACGTTGAGCTCCTTCTTTTTTTTTTTTTTTTTTTTTTTTTTTTTTTTTTTTTTTAATCTAATGTTTTTTGGGGTTTTTTTTTTTGCACTGTCCCTTTAAAAAAAAATTAATCACTTTTATTCTTCTCACAAGAAATGCATGCATGATAGAACTAATTAGTGACAGGTCCTCTTTATGGAGAGCTATGGGGTCAATAAGACCCCACATCTCTTCTCTACAATGTAAAGCATTAGATCAAAAAAAAGCAATGATCTAGTGCTTTAAAAAAAAAAAAACATGGCTGGAACGGGAAGGGACATCGCTCTGGTCCTTCAAGGGCATAGAGATGAGTGGCGGCCATCACTCATTTCTATGCCCAGCGCCGGGATCGATGGTTTCTCAGGTAAGGTCAGCAACAGCGGGCGGAGGCAAGGGGCGGGGTTTTTTTCAGCACCTGCTTTTTTTTTTTTTTTCATTTCAGCCAACAACCGATAGGGGTGTTTTTGGCCATAATGTTTCGGCCACTGAAATTTTGGTGCATCCCTAATATAAATGATACACTGAAAAACAATGTAAATGTATTTTTAATACGTGGCTGTGTCTGTAGATAAAAAGAAGCCAGAAGCTCGATATTCGGCAATAAATGAGTTTATTAATCCAGGTTCGGTACAGAATAATACAGGGCTTACGCCTTTCGACGTGTATCCTTATTCATAGTGACTGCATCTGTAGTTTCCTGTAATGCCTCACATAGGGCTCAGAATGGAGAGACCCTGTCAGGCCCTAATACATTGTGCACTGCTGTCACTCAATTACTGGAGCTGGATGTCCGGAAGAGTGAAAATTGTGATGACCTGCTGCTATTCCTTCATTGTCTAGTCAGCAACCTGAGGGTATGTTGTGAATGCATCTTTCTGATTAACTATTGTGGGGAAAAGTGCTATGTACTGTAGCAGGAGTGCTTGCATGCGTGTAATACAATCAGCTTTGGGAATACCAATTTAAAGCGACCCTGTCATCACAGAAAGCAGATTCAACTAAGGCTTGCCTGTAAGAGAAGAAGGTTATTACATTTTATAAGTAAAATACTGCAGTGATGTTGATCCCCGTGTGCAATAATTGCATACCTGCTGGCCCATTCGTCCTGTGGAGACGTTTAGTGCGTTCAGTCTCTTCAGCAAATGGCTCCAGAAATAAAGCTGTATTAGGAAGATGTAGAAAATGTGCCTGGCTATAGGTTCTCAGCACAGTGGAATGAGATAAAGCACAGTTGGGTTACCACTGCCTCTGTATGCTTGTTTTCAGACACCTAATGAAGTGATGTGTGTTTTTAGAATGTAACAGCGTGTCTAACAGATTCTTATACTCTTGACAGCTCTTCAAGTTTGTGAACTTCAACAGAACTATGACCCAATTGTCTACAACTATGTCTCGCTGTGCCAAGGATATCTTGGGCTTCTCCATCATGTTTTTCATCATATTTTTGGCATATGCCCAATTTGCTTACCTTGTGTTTGGCACCCAGGTTGATGACTTCAGTACATTCCAGGACTGTATGTAAGTAACTTGGGGGGACCAGTTGTATCAATATCCATACACAGTCATACTTCGCAGCAGATTGAAGTAAAACCATCCCACTCCTGAATGTTTACAATTTCTTATGCTGTCCCATACACATTATAGTCTGATTGTACAATCTCCTTTAGGTCTACCAACAATGGTACAGTGCAAGGTCCTGCCTAATTTAATTAAATTGAATTGAAAGTTTGCAAAGGCCATCACAAAACACTATTTTAATAATTCTAAAAGGGAGTGTACAGTCAGATTGTAACATGCTGGTCATCTTGATAATTATCTCCTATTGCCTCCTTGTGGTGTGTCCTGTGTTTGGTAGAGCAGTGAAGTGATTTGTACAGATGCCTCTAATTCCAAGCTTGCACAATGGAAGCCTGCAGCTGGTACTACTAAAGTCCCATATGCAGGGGCCGAATATTGTCAGAAATCAGCCGGTACAGCAGATACCGGCTGATATTCAGCCTGTGTCTATAGGTCCTTCTTTGACAGAAGCCGATCTCACGGCTGGCTTCTGTCAAACAAACTTTCTGTAAAATCAAAAGCTGATTGGCATCTGATCAGCACTTTCAGCCAGTGGCTGCGAGCGCTGACTGGTATGTTCTGGTGGGGGGAGCCTCCCTGTCAGAGCACATACGTTTAGCGGGGAGATCGCTGCACTAACGTTGCATCGTTTGTACAGAGACCTCCTCTTGAGCTCCTTACTTTTTTTTTTTTTTTGTTCAGCCCGCTGGACTGCATAGGTTGTACCTATGGCCTCATTCTCTCTTTAGATCTCATTGATGTTTCAGTCTTGGAAGACAGCATTCCTAAACTGCTGCCAGTTAAGAGACAAACTCAAAGCATTCCAGAATTTGTAGATAAAGCAGTAAATTGCGACTTACACGGTACTATAGAAGTTATTTAAAAAACAAATTCTTGGTATAGAGAAGAAAGTTCTAAAAACATTTTGATTTGTAGCAGAAGTAAAAAAAATTGTGAATCGGGGTAAACAAAATGTGCAGCCAAATGTGTTGTCATGTAGAAGCATTATCGAAGTAAACAAGTGATTGGCTCGGGTTTGTGTTGTGCACACATGCTGCAATATTGTGGTTGGCGGTCTATCACTATTGGTCTGTGTGTGGGATCACAAATAGGAAGTGTTGTGTGACAGAAGCAAATCTGTTTTTTTTTTTATTCCTAGTAAAGTCAACTCAGTACATCATGTTCTAAAAGGTATCAAATAGTTATCAGTGTGATAAAGTAAATGGTACATGAAGTTTTTAAAATATATAGGGTCCATTCAAACCTATGCATCTGCTTTGCTCCGCACATGGCAATGCATACTTGGTGTTATTGGGCCTATATTTTCACTGTCTGAAGTGCATAGCCACCAGCCTCGTAGAAAGACTTGGAAATGCAGCAAATTTCTACAGGAAAATGAACAAGGGGAAAATAGGCCCAATTGGTCCTAAAATTAATCCAGAAATGAGAACCAAGTTAGAAAAAAAAATTTTTTTCTTGTCCTTTTGAGAGTGGTTTTCAGGGGCCAGTTCAAATTTTCTTCTGTTTACTTTAAAGTATAACTGAAGGCAGGCTTTTTTAATTGTTTTTTTTTTATAGAGTTGGAGGGATTAGAATCCCTGTGAGGTTTTTATTGCTGTCTTTGCCCCAATTAAAGAGATTTACCCTATTTGTCCTGCTGACTATTATTACCAAAAGTGGAAATGATGGAAAATCCCAAATTTTGAGTAGTCACTAGAGCAGGAATAAGCCCTGAATGTCACACTGAATGGGACTTTGAAATCGAGCTACTTCACTTGAATCAGCACAATTTCAAAGCTGCAGGTTCGTGTGATTTTAGGTGGCGCTTGCATGAAGTTGCCCAAATGTCTATGCAAGTCACACCTGACATCACCAAAGAGTGCAGGAATTACTTTCAAAATCGGTGCAACTGCACAGATTTGATCGATCCCATTGCCGGCAATAGGGTGCGACTTGTGCCATTTGGAATGGTCAAATCGCACGACAAGTCGCAACGGTGTGAATCAGCCTCAAGGAGAAATCTTCATTCTTTCAACTTCCAGGGGTTTCCTCTCATTTCCTATTGAGACTGAGACTGGAAGTGTAGGGAAATCTGCCCAATGGGACATTGATGGCAAAAAACTGACAAGGCATAAATCCTCTCCTATTATATTGTAAGAAATTAATTCACCATAAAACAGACGTCTGTATCTTTTCATATCCTTCAAAATGACAGCAAAGTCATTGAGCTAGTACATTTTTAACTTTGCGTGTGTATGATGGCTTTGAAAACAGGTGTTAAAGATGAACCATGGTATATTCATGTCTAAGAGGTCAGCAGGTCATAAGCTTAGTTTTAAGAATAGCAATTGGAATGTAAAAAGATATTGATATGCAGTAGAACAAAGAAAGTATATGTCTTTTATAAAGAAAATCATGTCTAATCTATAATATAGTTAGTTGGATAATTATTTCATATAATTCATTTATTAGTTAGGAATAGTGTGTGATAAGTTTAGTATCAATTGTTGGTAATATGCATTTATGTGATCAATTGTCCCTTTCTAAAGATATGTGAAGCCATTGTATATCATATAACAGTATCATGTATTTCTGTCGTCTAAGAGGTTTGAAGATAACGTCACACTAAGAGTATAAGTTTAGAAGGTTTACATATATGGACACTAAGAGTATAAGTTTTTAGAAGATAAGTACAAAAACTAGGGTTTTTTACTCATTTTTAGAAGGTCACACTGAATTAGGAAATAACTGTTTAGTGGGTTAGGGGTTGGTCTGGTAAAATATATATAAGATGTGCCTTAGAGATAGACAGACACATACACTCACTCACACTCATACATCAATACATTATACAGCTGACATTTTTGTTTTCTTAAGGCCTGCAAAGCCTTGATACACCTGTTGTCTTCCTTGCCAAGACTGAAACACTTGTCATAGAACAAGCAAGAGATTAGACATTTCTCCAAAGCTTATTTCTTTTTCCATAATCTACAACTTTTGTTATATTTTACTCTGTATTTTATTTTATCTTTTGTATTCATTTTTATGTTGATGCCAAGTGTGAATTAAATAAAAGTCACACTGTTTTAAATCAGCCTGGCACTAGAACACTTTACCTCAAACGCCTAAAGACAGACACTTAAATAATATAAGTGTCACGATATTTAACATATATCGAGAATGAAAAGTTTTTTTTTTTCCTTCAGTTCTACTTGAAAGTGATATAAAAGTCTTTTTTGTTTTTTTGACTTTTTGCTATAAAACATATCCAGTAAAAAAATTGAAAAAAAATCCAATTTCGTCATAAATTTAGGCCGAAATTTATTCTGCTACATGTCTGCTAAAAAAAATACCAATAAGTGTATATTAATTGGTTTACGTGAAAGTTTTATAGCGTTTACAAATGGCGGAATATATACTGGGATTTTTTTTTTTATACGAATAATGGCAGCGATCAGTGAATTTTAGCAGGACTGCTGGATTGCGGCTGGCATTCTGACACTGGGTGAGAACTGATTAACAGTACTGATCACTGCATTAGTGTCAGTGGCAAATACAAAGCACTGACACTGTGCTATTTACACTGGGCAGGAAGGGGTTAACATCTGGGGCGATCAAAGGGTTAACTGTGTGCTGTGTATGTTTTACTTGGGAGACGTGCTGCTTTGTATCTCTCTGCTGTGCAGAGAGATACAAAGCAGCATGTCCATGCTGACAGGAGAGCGATCTGTGTTTGTTTACACACAGATCTCTCCCCTCTCAGCCATACCGACGATCACCAAGTGGGACCCAATGATTGACATTTCCAGCAGCCAATAGCGGCGTGGATAGGGCGGTAACCGCGCCCCCCCGCTACCCAGAAATACAAAATCACATATTTTTACGTGATTTTGCACAGCAGAGCCACCCTGTAGCAGTATATCTACTATGGGATGACTCTTAAGTGGTTAAATAACAGACTGAATCATTTGGCGTGCATAATGTATTTGACACCCAGAGAGCATCATTTAACAACCCTCGCTCTTGAAAACATTATTTTCAGTAATAATCTTGAAGTTAAATATTAACAGAAAAGAAACGCAGACAGTAAAATTGTGGCATCCTCTAATACTAGTGGTCCATGTAGAAGCAACACCCTATGTTGATGGCTGGGTAAAAATTGCCCCTTTGCATTGGTGGTCAGTGGGACTGCTGACTCTGAAATCCCTAGTAGACACAGAAGGAAACCTAAGGTTCCACAGAACCCTGGTTAAGAACGTCTACCTTAGGGCTTGTTCACACTTGTGGAATATTTGTTTTCTATATATTGTGCTCACACTTTAACTGCAATATGTCTGCAGTTTTCCATCCCGTGCTACAGCTCACCCGCAGCTCTGTTTTGTCTGTATATATGCACCGTAGCTGAGCCACAGTGCATGGAAAACAATGATACGTCACACTGTTGACACTGTTAACACAATAATAACAAGAAAATGTAAACTGTGCTCCGCAAGTAAAAGCGCAATACGCTGCCAGCCAGACCACACTTCCTACAAGATAAAACTTAGATACTCTCATCCCATATGAGCAAGCTTTTAGAATCATTTATATAAGGGTCTCTGAAGCCTCTGTTCTTTACTTTCTGTGCTCATGCTTTCTGACACTTAAGGGGTATATGTATAAAATCAATTGCTGTAAGAATCTGTCAATCATTTGCAGAGGTGCAACAACTCTTTACCATAATTATCATGCATTTATTCCCGAGGATCATCAGCGACATCTAGTGGCAATAATAAGGTATTTTTTCTGTTTGTGGTAATGCAGGAAAAATACGTCATCATTACTAGTACATAGTGCTGACGTTTGTAGGAAATAAACAACGAAGATTCACTGTGCCTGTGTGAATTCATACAACATGCTGCAGATTTTTTTTTTTTCTTACATGGATCCCTTTATGTAATTTTATTACTTTGACATTAACCGCACTGAATTCGTTTTGAAAAAAGGGGTAACATTATTATTATTATTACAGTATTTATATAGCGCCAACAGTTCACTCAGCGCTGTACATTACAATGGGAGACAATACACGAGACAGTACAATAACAATACAATGCGATACACGAGGGGTTCGAGGGCCCTGCTCCTTGGAGCTTACAATCTAGGAATATAAATGTGCATGTATCTATTATTCATTTTCTTGTAATTACTAGTTTAGTACTAGTATAGACTTTAACTGGAACCCACTACTAATTTTGTTTTTCTATTTTAGCTTTACCCAGTTTCGTCTTATTCTGGGAGATTTTGATTTTACCAAGGTCGAGGAAGCAGATCGAATATTGGGGCCCATCTATTTTTCATCTTTTGTCTTTTTTATGTTCTTCATACTTTTGGTATGTGTAATAGTCTCTAGGTTTGTTCTGTTGTTCAACTACTTCGTGTCTGCAGTAATATTTTCATTTTTGCATACACACAGTAAAATTAGGATATTTTTGCTAGAAAATGTAATGCACGCAAACACAATTTATTCCCCAATTTTGTGATAAAATATGGGATTGTGACAGGTAATAGATTTACCAGATATTTCATGCCTTAAAACTTTTTGCACCCTTGAAATGGTGAAAAACTACAGCACACAAAATTGTCCATAGGTGATTCTTTTAAAAGCTTTTACAGCTCATCAGTTTAGAGTTAACTGTGAATAATGGTCCTAAAATGATTGCTCTCACTACGATGTTCGTGGTGAAACAAAACATGTGGTACAATCACTGTGTACATATATATGTGCACCCTACGCACATCTTTACATTTGTGTGTGTGTGCTGGACAACGGGGTTGCTTTTATTACATTTTTTTAATGCTAAAACGCCTATTTTTTTCATTAAGCTTTATTGCTATCATAAAGGAGCTAACAAGTCTTCTATGTGATAGCACAGCCAGGTGACAGGGTCTCTTTATGAAGACATCAGACTCTGTTAGAGCCCTGTTGTCTCCCCTGCCCTCTGCTACAGCCAATCAAACACAGGACTGAACTTAGTTGGCTGTTTCCCCAGTTTTTTAGCCTGGAGTTTGATGTCTCTGAATCCAGAAATTCTCAGATCATTATAGTTTTATAACAAAGAATCCTGATCATAAAAGAGGAGGAAAATATCATTCTAAATAGTTTTCTCATCTTCAGAAGTAGTGGCAAAGCAAACAGTGGTATAACCCCATGAACAGGATACAGTTTACCTACTTTGCTGATCTTTATTACGTTATGCAAACTTCTCAATGGAAGGAAACCGCATCATTGACTTTGAGGGCTCTTTTGTATGTGTTTAATTACCTTTTTTCAATCTTAGGTGGCATTATTCATATATGTTTTTTTCACGTTGATATGCTTTTTTTAAACCACTGCAATAATTCTGAAAACATTATTTAGCACAAATGTGTTTTCAAACTAATGGTTAAGAATTTTCTCTTTTGAAGAATTGCAAATTACATCAACATTTGAATACAGATTATCTACTTTATATTAAGTCATATCTGCTAAGAGGGGAGTTACTCTTCCAAGGTCCATGTAGTTAGGAGGTTTAGTCCCAATGACCAAACCTCTTTTTCTACACATAAAAGGGCTGAGTTGCACTGGCCATACATTTTATTCAATTTTCTTGAGATTTTTGGTTTAGAATTACCAAAAACCATATAATAAGAGGTCAAACCTAACAACACTTTCAATTGTATCCAATTAGGCAAGCTCTTGCACTACATAGTTGAAGGTAAATCTAAAGGTAATTGGGCAGAAATTGGACAGAAAATTGTATAATGTATGGCCAGCCTTTGTAGCATTTGGAAGTGCAAAATCTGGTGCAACTCTGAATAGACATCAATTAGCTTCCAGTTTTTTGGTCAAAGCTTAATTGAACAAGCTGAAGTTAGAAGCTGATTGGCTACCATGCACAGATGCACCAAATTTTGCACTCCTCAGTTTTAGCAAATCGGCTCCATGGGTTTTTGGTAGTTTGGCAGCAGCAGTGGTTTGCTAGGAAATAAATCAGTGTATGCACGTAAAGTGAGACAGGGAAGGTGAAGATAGATGGAGTTCTGCAGTCACGCAAGCAGGAGTGACAACCATGAGTGAGATTTCAGTGAAGCAAAGCACTCTGTTGTCATCCTGAACAGGAAGCTTAGAGTCCTCTGGGTTCCTAGAAGATCACTGGATATTTTGCTGTATTTGTGGGGACTGGGTTTAGGGTTATGTCCAGGGCTTGATGTTATAAAAATGGAGTTTGATATTTTTAAGAGGAGTTCGGAGGTTGGACTTATTATACGGGTTGGGAATAGGGACTGGGCCTATGTTAAATGTTAAGGGTTTGGTTTATATTACCGTTTTCGTTTTAGAGCTGGGTTTATTTGTTATAATCCTTTTTTTATTTCTAAATATTCAGATTTTTTTTTTTTTCAACAGAACATGTTTTTAGCCATCATCAGTGACACATATTCAGAAGTGAAAACTGATATGGCTCAGCAAAAAACTGAAATGGAATTGGCTGATCTTATAAAAAAGGTGAGTTACTAAAAATTTTTTCAAGGACATATTTGTATTTTGCATATATTTGAATTAACATACATCTCCTTGATGATGTATATACTCTGTACATAGATTTATATACAGAGTGTACATATGGTAATTTTTTCTTCCACCTTATTTCATTATGATAAGAGGAATTGAAATCTTTCTGATCCTTAAACAAGCAGAAAGAATGGGAATCGTCAAAAAAGACCAGCTATTTGTCATTATGTGTATTACAATATTTTTGTCACTTGTATGAATAAGGTTTAGGCGGGCATTATTTACAGTATGAAGCTGAAATCGAGAACATGAGGACATTCCCTCAAACTAGCAGGAAGACCGTTCAAAACTAACCTTAGAAAATAGTAGTTGATGCTTGGAACAGGCTTCAAGCAGAGGTAGTGAGTCGACCAACTGTAAATTTAAATATGCTTGGGACAAAAATAAATTTATACTCCGGTAAAAAAAAAGGTTAAAAAAAAAATCAGTGGCTGATTTAATGAACCACTTGTTTTTTTGTTTTTTTTTTTTCTGCCGTAACATGTCTGTGCTGTCATTTTGTGCCTGTTCATCGATTGTAAATGATTATTCCTATAATGGTATATTTTATTTCTTGCTAACTCTACCTGACAGATGGCATATCTAGCTTTGGTCCAGGTATGGGGGTTGATATATTGTGGTCACACAGTCTATATATTCTCTGCAAAAAAAAAGGATATATAACAGGGCTTAAAATTTCAAGTCCTGAACTACTAGGCAGGCCTTAACCTCCCTGGCGGTATTCCCAAGTGTAGCTCGGGGTAAAGTTTCTGTACCAAAAGCAGTAACCCCGAGCTACACTCGGGCTTACCATGCGGCGTTGCTCAGGGAGTCCCTGCAGCGCTTACCTTGTCCTTCGCTCCCGCGATCTGTCCCCTGCAGTGTCCCCAGCCATCTCATCCGGCTTCTGTGTTCCGGTCCCTGTGACGTCGGGACGTACGGGTGCCGCCGGTGGCGGCGGGAAATTTGAACATTTTAAAAAAATGTCATTTTTTTCAAAACGAATTTTACATAGTAAAACATTGCTGTTTCAAACCATTTCACATACATTTTGTCCCTAGTGCTTTGTCCTGTCCCCTGTCTGCATTTTGACTGTTCTTTCTGCCTGGAAACTTAGAAAAGTCCATGGCGTCCAAAAAGCGTCCCTTTTAGGTCAAAAGTGGTTTTAGACCGGCTAGAGAACAGCGATAGTAAATCAGAACCACTTGCAGAATTGAGTGATAATGATTCGTGGGGAAATTCGTCATCAGACACTGAAAACAATTCTGCGACTTTGCTCAGCGAAGTGCGAACTTGGCGCTATATTTCAAATTTCAGTGTTTTTGGTTTGATTATATTATTGAATTAAATGTATTATTATTATATTATTTTTTTATGATTATTTATTAAATTATAATTTATGATTTTGTGTCTCAAATTTTATCATACCCGGGATGTTTAATAGACTCTTGTTCGGACAGATTTCAGTGAGTTATTCCTAAATATTACAGGCCTACAATAAAAAAAACTACATATTTCCATGCAAAATAATGGTACCGCTTTCAGCACCAAAAATCTGAAATAATCATACCGCCAGGGAGGTTAAGAGTTATTCGCCACCAGTTGCCTCGTCCAATCCCTACCTTGCCACACCCATAATTCTGCCCCTAAACACGACCTCGTAAATTATCTCCTGAAATGACGCTGTTAAATGTGTGGTTCTCTTCTTTACTGAACAGCACTGCACTGACAGGCACTTACTCACTGCCACAGTAAGAAATGTGCACTTATTCAATTGCAGCCACTGCACTAATGCACACTTGTTTACTCACTGTTACTGCACCGATGCCACTGCACTAACACGCACTTCTGTTCGAAGCCTGTTCAATTAACAGGCATACTTTTGCTAGTCTCAAATTTAAAAACGTAAAATAAACTGCAAATACAGCATAATTAAAATAAAGATTTACATTTTCTAGGGCTGTAGCAAAGCATTGGTGAAGCTTAAACTGAGGAAGACTACGGTGGATGACATTTCCGAGAGTCTCCGGCAAGGAGGAGGAAAGCTGAACTTTGATGAGCTAAGACAAGACCTAAAAGGGTAAAATCATGGCTCACAGAGGCAGTGGGATGTCTATACTTGAGTAATGTTCACACCTTAATTAGTTCACATCTCTATGGTTGTACAGTATGTCTAATAGAAAACACAGCATGTATATTTAAAGTGTATGTCAAGCCAAAAGCTTTATTTTTTTTTTTTTTTATAGTTTTGTAGAGTGGTAAAGAATTTGAACACTCCTGCTGGATATTTACTGCTACCTAGGATTCTGTTACACAGAGCTTAAAGCAGCCCATAGATTATGCAAATTTCTTTTCTTTCCGCCATGAGTGGAAGGAAAGAAAATTGCTCGATTTCCCCCAGCAACCATGTTGATGGAGGAATCCCTCCCGCAATGCTATTTTGTTCTGCTGGCAAGGAGCATTTCCTGTCAACAGAACGCATTGCTCACTGCTGACTACTATAGCCGCTGGCAGTGATCGCATCAAAAAGTGACAGGTTGGCAGGCTAGTAGTACTAAAGTTGATTGATGGATCAACTTCAGTACAGCCAGCATGCCGATAGATGGATTTAATCGTGGCTGGTCCCTGCTGAACCGGCCAAAATTTGACCCACCTATGGCTGGCGGTTTTTTCTTTTTGACAACCATTTAACAATACAGGAAGAAAGGGAAATTCTGCAACAGGGACAGAAATAAAAACCAGACAGGGGTTCTGGCCTTGGCATACTTTGTTAAAAAAAAATATTTTTAATTCTGTCTTTGTTGCTGCTGTTTTCCTCACTTTTTGTCTGTTAAAACGGTATGTCAGTAGGACTGGAGGTGAGATGAAATATCCCTAAGAGAGAAACGCTCACAGCTCCTAATGCTGATGAGGAAACAGAAAGCTGATGTTTTTTTCAGGAGACACAATTCCATACCAGTGACATACCTAAATCGACAAATAGCACATCATGCCATCAACAGTTTGGCTAAAACCAAAGCATTCTCTATCCTCATCCCCAAACACATCCCCCTTACAGTCACAGACACCCTGGTTGATAGTGCTGGTAGGTTCCTATTCTTGAAATGTAACCTTTATGACAGACCAATCATTTTGGCAAACCTCTACTGCCCAAACACAAAACAAGTTGCTTTCATTAGCTCAGTGGTGAACCAGCTTATTGCTTTCCATTTGGGTATTCTAGTGCTGAGAGGAGACTTTAATGTCTTCTTGCAAACCATATTAGAGACTTCAGCCGGTACCTCATCCTTACCCTGCTGCACTCTGCAATGCATTAATCTTGCTCTACAAGATCTATTAGTCCATGACACTTGGCGCACCCTCCACCCCAATATCAGAGATTATGCTTGCTATTCTGCACCCCATAAAAGTCACTACGGACTAAATTAGTACTTCTTGTCCCAATCAGATCTTCCACTTCTTTAAATGCCACTATTGAATCTATGCTATTATCTGACCAGAACCTGATCACAATGACCCTATCCTACTCACAGCGCGCCTTGCGCACTAGACTGTGGTGCTTTGATGCTTCGCTCCTTACAGACAAAAGTTACCAAACTTTATTGAGAATGATGATCTGCAGATGTCACCAATCTCAATCTGGGAAGCTGAAAAGTGTGTAATTAGAGGGGAGCTCATAGCCCTGACCGCACTTCAACAGAAAAACAGGCAAGCTCACCTAGATACCTTGACAGAAATGATGAGCATTCTAGAAGTGGCACATAAAAAGTCACAAGTCGACAGTACTATTCAGAAGTTGCTTAAGGTTAGGACAGAATTCCTGGGTGAATTTCCACAAATCACTGAACGCAACTACATCTTGACAAAAAATTTGTTTTAGGAACATGGAAATAAAAGTGGTAAGCTCCTAGTGAGAACCTTACAGTCCAAACGAGCAGCAGCCACAATCTTACACATAAAAACTTCAGAATGTCACCTCTCTCTGCCTCCTTAGAATACATAGCTACTCCAGTTGTACAATATTACACAGTCCTATACAACTTATGACCAGACCCCTATACTGTACCAAGTCCTGTTGATCAACAGACACTTATAACTGAATTCCTGGCACAATTCAGCCCCAAACCCTTGTCCCTGCCCGACTCTCTGCAGCTAGATCAGCCAATCACTTCAAAGGAACTGACCCTATCCTTGAAGGAACTAAATACGGAAAAGTCCATGCCCTGGTGGCCTATCAGCAGCATACTACAAAACATTTGCTGAAATACTGACCACTCCATTTTTGACTACTTTCAATTCCCTGGCCTCTCAACCAAATAGCCTTCATGATCTCCTAGAAGCCCATATATCAGTAATCCCCAAGGAAGGGAAAGATCCCACCCAGGTTACCAACTACAGACTGATCTCACTCCTAATGTGGATAATGGCTAACTGATTGCTACAACTTTTACCCTCTCTCATCTCTACAGACCAAGTTGGCTTCATCCCAGCCAGGGAAGCCAGAGACAACACCCAAAAAAATCCTGAATCTACACCATTGGCTGGTATACCAAAGAGGGTTTTTCCTATTTCTCTCTTTTTTTTTTTTTCTATAGATAACGGAGAAGGCATTTGATAGGGTGGCGTGGGACTACATGAAATCAGTACTAGAAAAGACTGGTATACGGAACTATATGTTTAACTATATGCTAGCTCTCTCACGCCAACTGCTAGAGTAAAAGTCAGCGGTCACCTATCAAATGTCTTCTCCATATCAAATGGTGCTAGGCAGGGATGCCCACTATCCCCATTCTTGTTTGTCCTCAAATTGGAACCATTGTTACAGCATATCGGAGCAAATCCCAATATCAAGGGAATGGAAGCCTCTGGACATACATACAAAATAGCGGTGTTTGCAGATGACATCCTGTTTTTCCTCTCCAACCCAAAGCTTACAATCCCTAACATTCTGTGCGACTTTGCTCACTACAAACTCCTTTGAATGTCTCCCTACCATCAAAAGAAGTGACTGAATGTTTCCCTATATTTGTCAAAGGCACTCCATAACGTATTTAGGACTTCAACTCCCAACACGTCTCGCTGATCTATACAAACAAAACTATCTGTCCATACTCGTGATATCCAAAACGATCTCCAAACATGGCACAAGGGGCTCTTCTCCAGATTTGGAAGGGCAGCCATAAAAATAATGAACATACTTCCTCGTATCCTTTATGTGTTGCATACAATCCCTCTTAAGGTTCCCTCCACCTTCTTTATGGCTTGCCACAGAGCTTGTGCCCTCTTTATATGGGGATGAAAACGCCCTCAACTTACTTACGCTCTACCGATGTTACCCAAAATGTAAAGGAGATATAGACCTGCTGGACATCCATAAATATTACCTAGTCTGTCACATAAGACTAGTTGACTGCCACGTATCTGAGAAGACAAAGGCCTGGGTCCACCTAGAGAGTGCAAGATCGACAATGCCCTTAAATCTAAGGGTAGAGAATGTAAGGAACACCCAACCGTGGGCCCCTCTCTACATTACTTTCAATAGGCTGGTAAAGCTTTCAACTTCTCTTTTTCAGGACTTCTCGCTTCTCTCTGACATAATCCTGAATTCCCTCCTGATATGTCACCTCACTTTCTGACCGAGATCTTGCCACATAAACAGATACGTGCTGAACACTTTTTCCATAAATGTGGCCTATTGCAATACGAACAGCTACTGGCCAAAATGCTCAACTCACCATTTCACTTGACTTCCATGCAGTAAGACAGTTTTTCAGTCACCCCAAAACTTCATCAGACTGGTTCCGCCCCTATACCCCGTTTGAAGCTATTTGCTCTAGGAATACACCACAGCGTCTTGTCATATCCTTAATGTACATGCTCCTCTTCTCTACCTCCGAAAACCAAGAAAATGTGTCGGAAATGGGAGAAACAGCTAGATCTCACCCTCGCAGGCGAGGATTGGGACAGGATATTAACCCACTTACATAAGGGCACAATAACTGTAACAACACAACAGGATATTGCACAACACAAGAAATAACAGGACATTGCTTTCAGGCTGTTACAGAACACCTACAGAGCTTCATAAATTCTTTACGTCTATCTCCCCACTATGCTGGAGATTCGGATCAGACTCTGGTTCCCTATTGCACATATGGCGGTCATGCCCTAATCTGCAAACATTCTGGATTGGAGTGCACAAGGCTATAACTAAGATAACCGCATACACTCTTGATTTCACTCCCGCACAATCCTGCTACATCACTCTCCCCTCTCGAAGTCCATATACCATAGATCTTTGCACCTTGTAAATGCAGCTAGACGTTGCATCCCTGCCAAATTGGGCATTTCAATATCTCCGACACTTAAAGAATGTCACCACCACGTCAGACAAACGGGTGAATTGGAGGAGCTGATCAGTATCACACAGGACAACCCTTCTAAATATACTCACACCTGGGCATTCTGGTTTCACTACCAAGATTCAATGAATCCCATGACATCACAGGGTACACCTGTTTAAAATAATAGAACTCAGTTAGACAGCTGGACTGCCTAGTCCATGAGGGAAAGAGTCAACATACTCACTCCACCCTTCCCTGTCCCCCAATCCTTTTCATCACTAATTTCCTCCCTTCGCCCTTATATTTTCCCCTTACTACCTACCCCCATAAATATATATTCTTTCCCTTTCCCCCTGTCTACCCCACCTGCTACTGAACGATTTAAATTAAAGCTTTCATAACCAGCCTCACTGATAAGACTGAGTTCCCGTTCACATATATGCAGATAACATTGCTTCCTATGGTGCCTGTTCATATATGTTCGACCGTGCAATTGTTAAAGTAATGCAGTGCTGTTTCGCAAGAAATGGCCTGGTAAGGAAGTGGAGAAGATTTTGGGAGGGCAAGTGGTTTTTTTTTTTTTTTTCTTTTTTTTAAATATTACCTTGTACTTTTTTAATTTTTGTAATCATTTTTATTGCTATCACACGGGATGAACAACATCGCTTGTGATAGCTTCGACCATGACAGATCCAGTCCCATTTTATAGAGAGATCTGGGGTCTATTAGACCCCAGATCTCCCCTCTGCCCTTTTTAAAGCATCAGATCAAACCCAGATTGGTTTATTCTGATGCTTTCATAGGCCAGTAACTGTTTACATTAGACTGAAATCGGAAGTGACAACATACTTGATGCTTCTGATTTTTTTTAGACATAGAGATGATTTTGGACATTCTGGTCCTTGGTTATCTCTATGGTCAGCTGGCAGAACTTATGGCTTCATTTCTTGGCTCCCTGATAGGAGGGGAGGGCCCAGGAATGCAGCTGGAGGAGGGGCCCTTTCGCTGACTGCAAAAGTGATCTAGCAGTTCATTAGCTGCTCAGATTGCTGCTACTTTACTCTGTATCACTGGCTGAAAAAAAAAGATACCAGAATGATGCTTGTAGCTTCTCACTATAACCCTTCAACCTAACTATGTATGTGTATGTTGCTGAGACTGAAGTGATTAAACAGTAACATATTATGTTTTGTTTTTTTTTTTTTTTTTTTTTTGCAATAAGCCTATGTTTACAAATTTTAAATGGTATAGTCTGCCTGATAATGAATTAGAATTTAATGTTTTATTTTATTTTTGTTCAGGAAAGGTCACACAGATGCTGAAATTGAGGCTATTTTTGCCAAATATGACCAAGATGGAGACCAGGAACTTACTGAACATGAGCATCAGCAAATGAGGGATGATCTGGAGAAAGAGAGGGTGAGTAAACCTAAAAGCTTGCTTTACACCTACAGTACAGTACAGTATATAGAGATAGAGATATATACAGTCATGGCCGAAATTGTTGGCACCCTTGATATTTTTCCTGAAAATCAAGTATTTCACACAAAAAAGGTATTGCATTAACACATGTTTTGCTATACACATGTTTATTCCCTTTGTATGTATTGGAACAAATATAAAACAGAGGCAGAAAAGCTATGACATAATGTCACACAAAACCCCAAAAATGGGCTGGGACAAAAGTATTGGCACCCTTAACTTAATATTTGGTTGCACACCCTTTGGAAAACATAACTGAAATCAGTCGCTTCCTATAACCATCAATAAGCTTCTGACACCTCTCACCCGGAATTTTTGGACCACTCTTCCTTTGCAAACAGCTCCAGGTCTCTCTTATTGGAAGGACAAAAAACTTTTCCCAACAGCAATTTTAAGATCTCTCCACAGGTGTTCAATGGGATTTAGATCTGGGCTCATTGCTGGCCACTTCAGAACTCTCCAGCGCTTCTTTGCCATCCATTTCTGAGTGCTTTTTCACGTAGTTTGGGGTCATTGTCCTGCTGGAAGACCCAGGATCTTGGACGCAAACCCAGCTTTCTGACACTGGGCCCTACAGTGCGACCCAAAATCCTTTGGTAATCCTCAGATTTCATGATGCCTTGCACACAGTCAAGGCACCCAGTGCCAGAGGCAGCAAAACAACCCCAAAACATCATTGAACCTCCACCATATTTTACCGTAGGTACTGTGTTTTGTTTAGTTCTTTGTAGGCCTCATTCCGTTTTCGGTAAACAGTAGAATGATGTGCTTTACCGAAAAGCTCTATCTTGGTCTCATCTGTCCACAAGACGTTTTCCCAGAAGGCTTTTGGCTTACTCAAGTACATTTTGGCAAACTGTAGTCTTGCTTTTTTATGTCTCAGCAGTGGGGTTCCTGGGTCTCCTGCCATAGCGTTTCATTTCATTTTGTCACGGATAGTTCGCGCTGACACTGATGCTCCCTGAGCAGGACAGCTTTGTCTTTGGAACATGTTTGGGGCTGCTTATCCACCATCCGGACTATTCTGCGTTGCAATCTTTCATCAATTTTCCTCATCCGTCCACGACCAAGATTAGCTACAGTGCCATGGGTTGCAAACTTCTTGATAATTTGCGCACTGTGGACAAAGGCAAATCTAGTTCTCTGGAGATGGACTTGTAACCTTGAGATTGTTGATATTTTGCCACAATTTTGGTTCTCTCAGGTCCTCAGACAGTTCTCGTCTCCTCTTTCTGTTTGTCCATGCTTAGTGTGGCACAGACAGACACACAATGCAAAGGTTAAGTGAACGTCTCTCCTTTTTATCTGCTTTCAGGTGTGATTTCTATATTGCCCACACCTGTTACTTGCCCCAGGTGAGTTTACAGGAGCATCACATGCTTGTAACATTCTTATTTATCCGCAGTTGTGAAAGGGTGCCAATACTTTTTGTCCAGGCCCATTTTTTGGAGGTTTGTGTGACATTAGTCGAATTTGCTTTCTTTCCTCCCTTTTTTTTGTTTTGTCCCAATACACACAAAGGGAATAAACATGTGTATAGCAAAACATGTGTTAATGCAATACGTTTCGTGAGAAATACATGATTTTCCTGGAGAAATATCAAGGGTGCCAACAATTTCGGCCATGACTGTATATATCTATATATCAGGAATATAATAGTAAGAGCACAATGCGTCCCTGCATGTCTCAGCCCACTCTACCTCACCCTCCTCCCTTTTGCTGCAACTCTCACAAGAAAAAAACTCCTTGATTGATGATAATATCCCAAGAGTCAAGGGCACTAGAGTCATTCACTTAGGCGGATGACCTAGATGAAGACTGAAACTACCAGAAAAAATGTATTTAGAGACAGAAAACCAGTATATTTTAAGCCAGTGATATTAACCAATTCAACACCGTGCAATTTTACACCTTCCTGCCCAGGCCAGTTTTCAGGTTTCAGCGCTCTCACACTTTGAATGACAATTGCACGGTCATACAACATTGTACCCAAACTAAAATTTTATCATTTTCTTCACACAACTAGAGCTTACTTTTGGTGGTATTTAATCACCGCTGGGGTTTTATTTTTTGCTAAATTAACAAAAAAAGACCCAAAATTTTGAAAAAAAACAAAAAGTTTTTCTTTGTTTCTGTTATAAAAAGTTTGCAAATAAATAATTGTTCTTCATAAATTTAGGCCGAGGATGTATTCTGCTACATGTCTTTGGTGAAAATAACCCAAATTAGGATGTATTTTCTAGTTTGTAGGAAAGTTTATAGAGTTCACAAACTATGGTATAGATCTGAATATTGATCAATCCTGAAGTACTGACAGCCAATCTAATTTCTTGAGGTCCAAGAATGTCAGAACAGTACAGATATCCCCCAAATTACCCCTTTTTGCAAAGTAGACAGTCCGACGTACTTCATAAGAGGCATGGCGAGTTTTTTGAAGTTGTATTTTTTTTGTCATCTTTCGGAAAATTAAAAAATTAAAAAAATTCGTTTCACTATTTTTTTTTTTTTTTTTTACATACTGTCACCAGTGCAGTACAGCAGCATCATATAACTGGCATGGCGGTGATCAGAGACACTGACCTTGTGACAGTATGGGAAAAAAAAAAAAAAAATATATATATATATATATATATATATATATATATATATATATATATATATTATATTTTTTTTTTTTTTTTTAATTACATTTTTTTTTTTTTTCTAAGATTTTGTTTTTCATATTTCACTATGACCAAAGTAGTACAATGTTACCATAGTAACTTTGTACTACTTTGGGGAAGTGATCAGTATTTTTTTTTTTTACACAATTTGCTTATAGCAAAGAATTACTTTGCTATAAGCAAGCATTTACCTGAATGACATCGATTCATTCAGGGTTTTTTTTTTTGTTTGTGCTTAGCTGTGATTTGGCCACAGCTAATCACATGACATGTGCATGTGATTAGCTGTGACCATTCACAGCTAGACACTAGTATACAATGGATGGCATGGATGAAGCCATCCATTGTATACAACTGTCATGTGACCTGCTGTGATTGGTCACAGCAGGTCACATGGTACCGGCAACGGGGCCGATACTCAGATCTGTCATCGGCCGTGTCCGAGGTACACAGCCGGTGACAGATCACGCCGCTGCGCCGCTCTGCAGGAGCACAATCTGTGCATGTACGGGAGGACGCCATATGGCGTCCACCCGGAACGCTGATGACATTTGCCTCCCGCCATTCGGCCATAGGGCGGGCGGCAAATGGTTAAGGGAGGGGGAGACAGGACCTACAGAAGCAAATTTATAAACTGACTGAAGGTCCACTTTAACCTCTTCCCGTCCAGCCATTCTACATAGACAGTGGACGGGAAGCAGCACCGATGCGGGCTGACGTTCCTGAATGTCAGCCCGCATCAATGGCTCGTGTGTGGCTCCCAGAGCACGCACCCCGGAGCCCATTGATCGGTGTGTCGCCCGGACACAGCGGATCACATTACTGCTGTGTTCGGGCAATCACGTGATGTTTTACCATGTGACTGCTGTGAACAATCACAGCAGTCACATAGTAAACAATGGAAATGAAAGTAAAGATCGCTTCTCTCTGTTCTCAGTGTGAGAACAGAGAGAAACGATCCTGCATTGTGTGAGTGTACAGCAGCCTGTCAGGCTGCTTGTACACTCTCACACTGCAGTACAAGCCACCCGAGTGCCCTGATTTAGTGCCCCATGTGTCCCTGATCACTGCCTCACAATGCCGATAATAAATAATGCAGCCAGCCCCTGTCACCTGTCCCAGTGCACACAAAACACCCCCATACACCATACCAATGTCCTGATCACCACCATACCCCACACCAACACCCTGATCACTATCATACGCCACACCAGCGCCCTGATCACTGCCATACCAGCGCCCTGATCACTGCCATACCCCATACCAACATTCTCATCACCGTCATACCAGCATCCTGATCACCCCATATGCCATACCAGCATCCTGATCACCGCCATACAAGCACCCTGATCACCCCCCCCATACCCCATATCAGTGTTCTGATTACTGCCATACCCCAAACCAGCATTTTGATTACGGCATACTCTATACCAACATCCTGATCACCGCCATACCAGCATCCTGATCACCCCCCTACCCAATAACAGCATCCTGGCTACCGCCATACCAGCATCCTGATCACTGCCATACCTCATGCTAATGTCCTAATCATCACCATACCCCATACCAACATCCTGATCACTACCATATGCCATACCAGTGTCTGGCATTTTAGGATCTCAACTGATCAATTTTCAAATATACTTTCCATACTTTGTAGACTCTAGCTTTCACACATACTAAATAATATAAACTGGTGTTATTTTTACCCCACAAAATGTAGCAAATACATTTTGGCCTACATTTATGAAGAAATATTATCTATTTGCAAAATTTTATAACAAAAACTAAGCAAAAAAATGTTTTTCTCCAAAATGTTTGGTATTTTTTAATATTTATATATATATATATATATATATATATATATATATATATATATATATATATATATATATATATATATATATATATATATATATATATATATATATATATAAAAAAATAAATGGTGATCAAATACCACCAAAATTAAAGCTCTATCTGCCTGAAAAAAAGAATAAAAATTTCATATGGTTACAGTGTTGCATGACTGAGTAATTGTCCTCAAAGTGTGATAGATCTGAAAGCTGAAAATTGGCCTGGACTGGAAGGGGTTAAAGTATATCTGAAGCCAATGTATTTTCAAGAAAAAGGCAAGGGAAGTGTTGAAACCCCTTGCCAGATTTGTATTGCTATGTGTCCCTGTTTGAGAGATTTACATGATCCTGCCGACCATTTAATAGAACCTGGTCTCTGTAATAGAAAGTAAGGGGACATCCAATATTTTACAGTTGCCACTAAAACAGGAATAGAGGTGAAATCATCCATTGAGGACATTGGAAGCACATGTGACTGGATGGCATGCAGAAGAGCAATTCAGAAATGAGGACAAGTTGTTGTCACCTCTGTCAACTGACAGATTACATGCAATTTTAGTGATTTAGGTTTACATCAACTTTAAATCCATAATCCATATTTTGCAAAATGTAATAAATGCAGTCATATTGATAAAATACTAAATGTGCATTTGTTACATTTTTCAATTGAAGCCTGCAGAACATTGCAGCTGAGATCAGTGCATCCTGGGTGCAATGCACAGGCTCCTGTTATTTACCTCCAGCCCCAAGTCTGTATGGTGTATAGACCTGTTATTGGGATGAAAGAAGTAAACAAAGGACTATACATATGGTGATGTCGGTGCCAAGCACAACTGCTTTGAATTGAAAAAAAAAAAAAAAACAAGACGCAGTGAGAAGCACTGCTTGCTTTAGGTAATTTGAGAGAGGGGTTGGGGAATGCAACTGTTTCTTGCTACATCCTAAATATGGGTGTAACATTGTCCCAGTGGTAGACTACCTCGTTGTGTGTGGCTACACGCTAACAGCAGCAGCCGCTGTCAGCCCACTATTAGTTTAAATGGGCTTTGCAGCTGCTGTTGCTGATTGCATAACCCGGTCATTCCAGCTGCAAGAATCCACAGATTCCCGCTTAAGAATCCAGCGGCCGCACCAACCTGGCTGTGTAAAAGGGGCCAAACACTGCGTTTTCACCGTTAAATGAAATGTTTGTTTTTTTTTTGTTTTTTTTTATAAATGGTGAAAAACAGTCAGATTGCTAGAAATAAGTCATATACTAATTAACCCCGTTTACAGTGTTCTGACCAAACCTCTATTCAGATATATTTAATTCTCTGGCCAGTAGATCACTATATAAACACAAAGAAGCATTTCTCTTGCTAACATAGTGGCTGCACATCAGTGATGTCAATCCTTCAAACGTTTATTCAGGACATGCACACTGAGAGTCCTTGTCTGTAACCATGATCCTTTTTGGAGGATTGACATTATTAATGCGCAGCCACTTTTGTTTGAGCTTGTGACATGTTAGAGCCAGGACAGGTTCCCATGGCCAGCGCCTTTTACTCCTCAGACTCGAGGGGCTGAACCGAGATTGGAGTGGTGCCCCACACAAAGTATCCTGTAAAAGTAAGTCTTTCTCATATCTCACTTCCCCATTTTCTCATTTTAATCCAAGTCACTTTCGTTTGTTTTGTTTCTTTTAATAGGATATAATAGGTAAGATTGATTTCAAGTTATAGACAAGTCTGCTGAGCAAATTCAAAATGCTAACACTGACATACAAAGCTGTCCATACCCACTGCCCCAAACTACATCACCGACCTGATATCCAAATACGACCCAAAACATACTCTCCGCTCCTCACAAGACCGCCTTCTCTCTAGTTCCCTGGTCACCTCCTCCCATGCCCGCCTCCAGGACTTCTCCAGGTCTTCACCCATCCTCTGGAACTCCCTACCCCAATCCATCAGACTGTCACCTACTCTCCTCTCCTTTAGGCGCACCCTGAAAACGCACCTCTTCAGGGAAGCCTACCCCGCCCTCTGCTAATCGCCGATCTCCTCCACTCTTCCTACCACTCCATCCCCCACAGCTATTCCTCCCGTACCACTATCCCCTCCCTCCTAGATTGTAAGCTGCAAGGAGCAGGGCCCTCGAACCCCTCCTGTATCGCATCGCATTGTATTGTTATTGTACTGTCTCATGTATTGTCTCCCATTGTAATGTACAGCGCTGAGCGAACTGTTGGCGCTATATAAATACTGTAGAATAATAATCTAAGAGAAATGCATTACTTGATGTCACTAAATGTCATGGGGCTGTGAGATTTTTTTTCATCTCATGATCAGCAATCAGTAGCTGCATGTTTGTTTCCCACAAGGAGGACCTGGAGCTGGATCGTGGCTCTCTACCTCGTCCGATGAGCGGTCGCAGTTTTCCACGTAGCTTGGATGACTCTGAAGAGGATGATGATGAGGACAGTGGTCACAGCTCTCGCCGCAGAGGCAGCAGCTCCAGTGGTGTTTCTTATGAGGAGTTCCAAGTGTAAGTGCACAAGCTATAGTGGTAGAAAGCTTCTGCTCTTTAGAATCCATTAAGTCCCCACTTTTGGGTTCAACCAGTCACCTATTATCAGTGCCACAAAAATTCTACAGAATTGGCTTTTTTGTTTGTCAAAGTGAATGGTTGATTAGCAGGACTATGAGTGGAGCAAAACCTGTTCTGCCTAGTCAGTCTGCAAATGAAGGTGGAAAACCGTACAGTTTACTTTTTATGATTTAAAATGAACACACACACCATTTTAGACTTAAAATAAATGTCCCGTCTAACAACACCATAATATCCGCTATTAATGTGCACCTTTGTGATTTAGTTTAGTTTTTTTACTGCAGCCTTCACATAAAATGCACAGAGCATGTCACTCAAGAATGGAAGTTTTGAACAGCTATAAGTTGGGCTCTAAAGCTATACGTCAGATTTTAACTGGCCAGGTATATGGAGAAGCTTAGGCTAAGGTATAGATAAAGGACCGTTGCAGGACTATATGAAGCTCAATCTGAAAACTGAATGGCTGATTATGTCCACCATAATAAGTTGCTGATTTCTAACTTGTGTACAATTGACACTACATAAAGTGTGGTAGTAGGTATAATCACAACTGAAATGTCCAGTCATATTCTCCATTTCAATAAGTTTTAACTATATGAGTTGATCCAAAATATTTAATAAATTGCAGTTATTTTTATATATTTTACAATCTTTAATATGTTTCTTTTATTATGTTTAATCCATTGCACTGGGAAACTGTTTCTTTTACAGTCTTGTGAGAAGAGTGGATAGGATGGAGCATTCTATTGGGAGTATCGTGTCTAAAATAGATGCTGTAATTGTTAAATTGGAAGCTATGGAGAGAGCCAAAGTGAAGCGCAGAGAGGTCCTTGCAAGACTTTTGGATGGTGTCACTGAGGTATATATTTAATGTGGGGGGCTTCTGTTTCAAAAGTGTACTAATCTGCAATTTTTTTGTTGGTTATAGTAAACAATATGGCTACATTTGCACAAAGTGCGTCCAGCTGAGGGCACTACAAGTAATTCATGTGACCACCAACGGCTGCACCTAGCTGCTCTCATCCGCAGCTATAAACAAAAGATTCCTGCTGCTACAATTTGCACCGGCCCTTATTACCAGTGTGAATGTAAGCTATCTTCTGTCATTTCTGCACTGCAGAGTTGAAAATTAATTGGGGATTTTAACCACTTGCCCACTGGGCACTTTTACCCCCTTAGTGCCCAGGACAATTTTCAGCTTTCAGTGCTGTCGCTCTTTGAATAACAATTGTGCGGTCATGCAACACTGTACCCATATACATTTTTATTTTTTTTTTTCACACAAATAGCTTTCTTTTGGTGGTATTTAATCGCCACTGAGTGTTTTATTTTTTGCGCTATAAACAAAGCGCAAAAAAAAAAAAAAAAAACGTTTTCTTTTTTTGTTTCTATTATACAATTTTGCAAACGGGTAATTTTTCTTCTTCACTGATGCGCATTGATGAGGCAGCACTGATAGGCAGCACTGATGGGCATTGATGAGGTGGCACAGATAGGCTGCGCTAATGAGGCAGCACTAGTGGGTATTGATGAGGAGGCACTGATGATGCTGCACTGATATGCAGCAATGATGGTCACTGATAGGCGCACTGATGGGAGACACTGGCTGCGCTGATTGACAGCATTGACTGATGGCACTGACGGGTGCACCTGCACTGCTAGGGGGCACTGATGGGTGGCACTGCTGGGCACTGTTGGTTGGCACTGGAGGGTGGCACTGCTGTGCACTGATGGGTGGCACTGCCGGGCAACACTGCAGAGCACTGGTGATCAGTGCCAATCTGCTGTGTGACAGCTGCCAGAAACTGTATTTACTCCGTGATCTGCTGTGTCATTGGACACAGCTGATCACGTGGTAAAAGGCCGCTGTGATTGGCCTTTTACTTCATCACGTGATCAGCTGCGATCTCAGAGATCGCCGGGTGCGTGCCGCTGGGGGCATACGGGAGGGCGCGTTCTGGGAGGACGTCATATGACATCCTCCCAGAACTGGATAACTGTAGCTGTCATTTGGCTATAGCGCGGTTAACAAGTGGTTAACTGGTTTCTGTGTGCTACAATAAATGTTTGCTAGTGTCCTTTTATTTGTCCAAGTACATTAATCTTCTAATACTAAACTTAACAAATCTAGGTTCCAAGACATATCATGATGGCACTTGATTGGAATCTATAAGGGCAATGTGGCTGGTCCTGCCACCTGCATGTGTCTCATGTACCTCTGTTCTGTCTAAAACAATACTGCTAGTTGTTATTCCTTTTCAGACTGCAGCGTGATAATACTTTAGATCAGGGGTGTCCAAACTTTTTTCAAAGAGGGCCAGATTGGATGAAGTGAACATGGTGGAGGGCCGAACATTTTTCCAAACATTCTTTGAACCATTACAATTAAATGCAAATAAATTATTTTATGCCAAGTTACCGTATTTTTCGCCGTATAAGACGCACCTGACCATAAGACGCACCTAGGTTTTAGAGGCAGAAAACAGGAAAAAAAAAATTCTGAACTAATGGACTGCAGACACAGTACAGGAGATGACCAGAGACTGCGGACAGCACAAGGATGACCAGAGACTGCGGACAGCACAGGGATGACCAGAGACTGCGGCGACAGCACAGGGATGACCAGAGACTGCGGACAGCACAGGGATGACCAGAGACTGCGGACAGCACAGGGATGACCAGAGACTGCGGACAGCACAGGGATGACCAGAGACTGCGGACAGCACAGGGATGACCAGAGACTGCGGACAGCACAGGGATGACCAGAGACTGCGGACAGCACAGGGATGACCAGAGACTGCGGACAGCACAGGGATGACCAGAGACTGCGGACAGCACAGGGATGACCAGAGACTGCGGACAGCACAGGGATGACCAGAGACTGCGGACAGCACAGGGATGACCAGAGACTGCGGACAGCACAGGGATGACCAGAGACTGCGGACAGTACAGGGATGACCAGAGACTGCGGACAGTACAGATGACTGCTGACCTTTGGGGAGGAGGGGAGCGGGTACCTGAATTTGACAGGTACCCGCTCTTACTTCCGCAGTTGTTCTTTGATCTTACCTGTTCCTCGATCCAGCCGCGCGCTATCTTCCCGGCTTCTGTAATGGCGCTCGGCATGACAGCCGGGTGCCCAGTGCGCATGAGCGAGAAGCACTTGCGCTTTGTGATTGGTCCGGCGGCTTCTGGGATCTGTCATGTGTCCCAGGTACCGCCTTACCATTCACAAAAAGCACCGCTTCTTGCGCATGCGCACTTGGCACCCGGCTGTCATGCCCAGCGCCCACACTACAGAAGCCGGGAAGACAGCGCGCCGCTGGATAGAGGAACAGGTAAGGTCCCGCTGCAGAGCTGAGCGGCCGGCCCGGTATTCTGACACGGCCGCGGTGGAAATACCGGACCGGCCGCTCCATATTCGCTCCATAAGACACACTGGCACACTGACATGGAGGGCCGTATTAAACCGACCCTCGGGCCGTAAATGGCCCGCGGGCTGGACTTTGGACATGCCTGCTTTAGATATATGGTGGCAATATATATATTTACAGTCTAAGTATTAAACAGTTATAGAAACCATGTAGTTAATATTAGCAAAGTTTAACGTTCATTTAAACTGTATGTTTCCTCCGTAGGATGAACGGCTTGGCCGGGACAATGAGATGCACAGAGAACAAATGGAGCGGCTAGTGAGGGAAGAGTTGGAACGATGGGAATCTGATGACACAGCTTCCCAAATGAGCCACTGCCTGGGGACTCCTAGCGGAACTAATTGTCAGCCTCGATCCAAGACATCACGGCCTCCATCTTCCCAGTCTACAGAGGGGCTGGATGGAGGAGCAGTGGCTACCAGTACCTCTAATAGCCAGGTGTAATTATCAGCAGTGTACTGAAAGTAAAAAAGTGCACTTAAGTTTTTGTGTAGGTAGCCTATGACTTTCTAGCCGAATGAGCTGAAGATTTCTCAAGGCCCTTTCAGAAAATCCCCACTGGGGAGACACATGTAGCCTAATAAGGACCCAGCCATTGCCCGTTAAAGCATATAATAAACATGAGGTCATGTGTTAACAATATTAACAACCCTTAATTTAAAATTTTGCCTCGTTTTATACTGGATATTTTTGTGCCTGAAATTTATCCAAAAACTATTCAGAGGGCTTGCATTAAAATTTAGCAATCAGCCAGCTTTTAATACTTTCAGTCACTATCCCAGAATAAGAATGCAGATTAGGATCATCAGCCTAAATTTCAGGGCCAGTGACTCATTGGGGTTGATCTACTGAAGGTAGATTTTCACTTTGCTAAATTTTCCCTCCCCGAAAATTCACCTTGCAAGGAATACCCAATCACATGCAGGTCATTTTTAAAAAACTATTTTTGCTTGCCCATGATTGGATGATGAAAATGAGCAGAGCTTTCACTTCCTTCACTAAGCTAAGGGAATATTCCACTGCCAAGTGAACAGCCTATTTGCCTTTAGTAAATCAACCCCAACGTGCTGAAAAAAGAGGCATCACAGCCAGGCAACTTGAATTTTCAGAAGGAAAGGCATGCAATGCAGGTTTCATTTAAAGAAAAAACGAACTATCACTGGAAAGTACAGAAAAAGCTTTTAATAATTTGATACCTGAAATATTACTTATTAACCAATTTTCAGAGGTTTGCCAATGAAAGTTACTTGATTTAAACCAAGCATCCAGAATATAGTAATGTCAGTTCTCACCTTTATCAAATGTCACTGGAAGCTGTGCTGTGTATTCCTAACTGCACCATTGACAGCTGTGACCTAATGCTGAAGAGGAGTGAATACATAGATCCTGTCTTCTTGGTTTTTATTCCACATTTATTTTGACTGTTGGCACCATGATAACCTTATAAACAGTAACTGCTGGAATAACTGAGGTTATGCTGATTTATATGCAGATAGTGATGAATGAAGTTCTTCATCCATGTCAGCAATTACCATACTGTTCTGGGAGGAAATTTAAAAATTGGTGTAGAATTTTAGACCAGAATTTTCATTCAAGGCTCATGCCAAGGCCTTGATGACCCCAGAGCCTCACCTCATGACACAAGCCACAGAACAAGGACTTGGTGCTCCCAAGTGACTCCACTGATCATTGTATGGCCACCAAGTAAGCATTTGACCAGCTCTAAATTGATTTGATTGCCTGACTAGCTGAACCAATCTGTTTTTACTATAATCTAGTGGATCTAATAGCCACCAGTTTGCCCACATTTTTTTGCAGTTTTTTTGCCATTAATATAAGATTAGACTAATACTGGGCACAACTTTAAATCCTTGACGCCGATCGCACGCAAATATGCGGCCTCTCGGCATCTGGGCTTTGACACCTAGTGGCTGGATATTTGCATACCATTAGTAAATACATATGTTGCGAGAGCGCGCACCGTGCGCGCTCCCAGCACATATGTCCGCTACTCCCGGAAAGGTCCCGATCTCCCCTTTCGTTCGGGACCTTTTCCGATCGTGACGGCCAATCACGGCAGTCACATGACCCTAAAACTCCGCCCCACCTCCGGCCTTCTGAAACTCCTAAAGGCCCGGGAGGCGCCAGCGCCAAGTGCCTAATAAATAAGAAAAACTGATATTAGAGCAAATATATCTTTTTATTTAATTTTGTGCATTTATGCAAACAGGAAATTTAGAAACTGAGGACAGAATTAGGGTTTTAGTCACTTATTTCTGGAAGTGATGATTTTTCACCAACCCCCAAAAAAGTAAAATAACCTACAATTAGACACCTAATATTTTTGTAAATCGGATTAGATTTGTAGCATTACTAGCCAGCAAGGTACTGAGGGTGTTGGCTGCTGCATGTATAATGCACCTGACAAACATTTTCTAGTACATTGGTATCTAGCAAGTGCACCAACCCATACCAGTTGCTACACCTGAATATTGTAAATCTTCATCATTTATAAGCCAAATGAATTCTGCTATCTGTACAGCAGGTATATGGATTCAGAGTCCTTATTGACAAACAGTCTAAATATTGGCAGAAACAGACTTGTCGTTTTCCCAAGTACATTCTGTGGCATCATCAAAATGTAGATTTTAAAATAATTTTAGATTGTATTGAAGGTACCCTTAACAGACACCAGTTAATATACCGTATTTTTCGCTCCATAAGACGCACCTGACCATAAGACACGCCTAGGTTTTAGAGGAGAAAAACAAGAAAAAAATATTCTGAACCAATGGACTGCAGACACAGTACAGGGGATGACCAGAGACTGCGGACATAGTACAGGAGATGACCAGACACTGCGGACACAGTACAGGAGATGACCAGAGACTGTAGACAATACAAGAGATGACCAAAGACTGCAGACATACTACAGGAGATGACCAGAGACTGCGGACAGTGCAGGGGATGACCAGAGACTGCGGACAGTGCAGGGGATGACCAGAGACTGCGGACAGTGCAGGGGATGACCAGAGACTGCGGACAGTGCAGGGGATGACCAGAGACTGCAGACCTTTAGGGAGGGAGGGGGAGCGGGCACCTGAATTTGACAGGTACCCGCTCTCACTTCCGCGGAGTTCTCCTTCCTATACTGTGGGCACCCGACTTTGACAGCCGGGTGCCCACTGCGCATGCACGAGAAGCGCTGCACTTTGTGAATGGCCCGGCGTCTTTTGAGACCTGTTGTGTCCCAGAAGACACCGGACCATTCACAAAGCGCAGCGCTTCTCGTGCATGCGCAGTGGGCACCCGGCTGTCACAGATGCTGAGGCGGAAAGAAGCCGACACGGGAAGACTACAGCGCTGGAAGACTACAGCGCTGGAAGACTACAGCGCTGGACCGAGGAACAGGTGAGTTCCTGCCGCAGAGAACAGCTGAGCGGCTGGCCCGGTATTCTGACATGGTGGCGGTGGAAATACCGGACCAGCCGCTTTATATTCGCTCCATAAGACGCACTGACTTTTTCCCCCCTTTTTTGGGGGGAAAAAAGTGCGTCTTATGGAGCGAAAAATATAGTAATTAGTATGTTGGTAATTTAGGGACAAAAGAAGGGAGTTTTGTAACTGATGTTAAGCTGACCATTCACAACACAGTGTAACAAATCTGCAGTGCCCGGTATTTTGACAGCCGGCATCCGTGGCTTTCAGAATGCTCAAAACAGAAGTTTCATCTGATTGGATGCAGCCAAGAATTTTCAACCTGGCTCCTTTAACAAAAGGCAATTGAAAAATTGGCATTTTTTGAGCTAGGTAATGAGCTGGCGCCTACAAACAAATTTTGGAGGCTTTAACAGAAATCAACTCAAATTAAATCAGTGCTGGCCTGCTTTAGTAACTTCCAGTTTTGTTTGGACTTTTATTTAGGGAATAGTGCAGTGTAAGCTTTGGAATTATATTAAAGGTACGCTTTAAAAGACATACTGTGTATACTTGGTAGAATACATGTTTGGTTGTTAAAAAACCATTAAAAAGAAACTTTGTTTAGAAAGTGGAATGAATTGAGATATTATTGTAGAGTTTAAAGAGACCCTGTTGCCTGATTTAATTTATTTGAACAAAAATCTTCCCAAGAGGTTATATGTGTATTTAACATCTATTTACTTGTTAAGTCTCCCTTGTGTACACATCAAAAACATAGGCAGCACAGTGGCTAAATGGTTAGCACTTCCACCTAGCAGTACTAGGGTCATTGGTTCGAATCCCAACCATGGTACCACCTGCCTGGAGTTTGCATGTTCTCCCTGTGCCTGCGTGGGTTTCCTCTGGATACTCCGGTTTCCTCCCACACTCCAAAGACATGCTGGTAGGTTCATTGAATCCTGTCTAAATTGGCCCTAGTTTGTATGAATGTAAGTTAGGGACCTTAGATTGGACTCCCCTTGAGGGTTAGGGACTGATGTCAATGTACAGTGCTGTGTAAATTGATGGCGCTATATAAGTACCTTAAATAAAATGCCTGAGGCTGCTGCTGGGCGCTGGCATCTTGGGTGTCATGTCTACATGGCCAGAAGACTCAGAACAGTCACACAATTGACACTTTACTCCTCCCCAGAAACTACATAAAAGATTATATCATGGGGCGAAGAGAGGGGTTGAGGAGCTGGACAAGCGCAGAAGATAGCTAGAGGAGGAAGCTATTATGTGAAAGTAGGAGCTGTGCTAAGGAATCATCTCTTCCTGGAGTAATCAAATTTTCTAGCAAGTTTCACAAAATAGATCAAATGAAATTGTAAATAATGTAACACGTTGTTACGGTTTTATTTTGTTAACAAACTTCATCTTGAAGTGCTACAAGTTTCATGGATATCCGTGTAAGTTTTATGATTGTGTTTAAGCACAAAAACTATGGGTTACATATATATATATATTTTATGTCCTAGTTTTAGCTAAACTTGTAATCTTTTGTGTATCACACAATATTCTTGATTTTATATAACAGTGTTTTTGTATTCATATAATCTACTAAATTCACACTGTGCATTTTGTTGAGCTGACAAAACACAAATTAGCATTATTCTTATGGAGAGGATTTTGCTAAAGTGTTGCAGTTAGTAATGTGTTTGGCCACCAAAAGGAATGTGATATTTTTCTCCAACACAACAGACAGCCAAAGTGCATAGAATGAAATTGTAGACCTAAGGTACAGTCCATCACCTATAGAGGAACATTATGTTACACCAAGCACTTTAAAACAATAAAGAATCTGTATCTTTTTGGAACTTGATGTGTCTTGCCTCTTATGTCATTGCCTCAACGACACGTAAGCCAGCAATGGTCAACTTAGAAAATCTAATGTGGTCCTTGACGTGTCCAAAGCACCATATAATAGCTTTGTTTTCAGAAACGTGTTATAATTAGTACATTGCATTTTTTGTAAAATGTTACTGTATCATCTTATACAACTCTGACAATACTTCTTCTGTAAGCACAATGTGTTTATGGTCTCTGTTGCAGAGTGTGATGTAGCAGAAGCCGAATGATTTTGCTTAGAGCTTAGTACTAGACTACAGCTATCAATACTAGCCAGCTGTACTAGTGCTAAAGCACACCAGAGCCAGTGGTACTCAGTGTGCAACCTACTGTGCTTCAGACCTGATTTAACGTGTGGAACACAGCAAGTCACACACTGAGCACTAGATGCTGCATGTTAGGCAGCAGCGGCCTAAGCCATCATTGCATATCACCTTACTTCTACTTAACCTTGAGTTGTAGCATCTGAATCTAAAGCAGAGGCCTATGGTAAATGGTGTCTGGGTTCAGGGAAACCCTGTGAGGGCCCACCGTGCTGTTCATGAGTTGGACGGTAGGGTGTATCCTTCCCTCATGCCTTCAGCCCACCTCATTTCAAAGGAGGTGCAGACTGAATGAGCCAAAGAGACAGAGGGAATATCGCACTCAGGGATCCAGAAGTCCCTTAAGGTCTGGGCATCGCCAGTAGTCCCAGGTCTCCAAAAGGGATCAGATGACCAGGCTTTGTGAGGACCTTGGAAAACTGAGCGCCAGCCCGGTGGTTTTGGCCTACCCCATGCCCAGGAACCATGAGGTAATGGAGCAGCTGTCAGGTGCCTGCTGTATAACTGTCAGGGACCTGAACAGAGGGTATGGGCCAACATCTCCAACCCAGGAGGCTCAGGACAAGTCAGCCTTCACCACCTCATGTGGCTTGCCTGAATTCACGGGAAAGCTAGTTGGGGTTGAGAACGCACCAACCACCTCACCAGGGGTCAGGAATGACCTATAATATGGAGTGGAACTGTGTGCAGTTGCCTACTTTAGGTGCCTTGCAGTGTTCGGCCCTGTCTGGGAGGAGCAACTTGGACCCCTGTCACCAGGCATGAACAAACTGCCAGTGCCTAGTCTGACAGTCAAAAATGGTAACTGTCAGAGAGGCATGTCAGTGGTTCAGCACTGGGAGCCACAGGTAGGAAGAGACCCCCAGAGGTCTGGAAATGGGGAGACCGAGGCAATTAAGGCCTGGCCTACTCCCCAGGCCAAAAAGCAGGTTCCCTCAGTCTTGGGTACAGCTGGCTACGGTAGAATGCCTGGGTGCAACTATCATGGCTCAGCTGAACCTATGACTGACCTAACAGGAAACTAAGGGAAATGTTGTCCTTGATGCTAGCATGTAAAGAGGACTGTTCAACCTGGGCACCTGTAGGTACCTGTAGACACACCTGGAAGGCGAGTTCCAGAATTCACCTGTCTGGTTTCGGTGCACACAGGTGCCACTACCTTCGGGTCAGATATAGTCCTGGGCCTGAGGAATGAGACTGGAGAGGGAAATCTCATTCTCTACCTCGACAAGAAGCTACATCTCAATATGTTAGCATATGACCCCCTGAACAGAAGTGTTTTGTGAACAGGTGGGCATCAGTTGACACAATATCCGGGTAGTCACAACAGACTGGTGCTCACCCCTAACAACTCAATTTGTTGGCACAACAGTGTTGCTGGGGAGAACAGCACCCTTCTCAGAAAGAACCTGGTTCTCCCGCAGTGCATTTGTACCAGATCACACCAAGGTGAACCATCTGGGCATAATGGATCTGTGTCCTGATCAGCCAAGCCAGCTGCAGGTGTCGGTTGCATCAGGAGGGAAATTGCAGTTCCCTCCCATGCAACCACCTGAGAGGGGAGCTGTGGCGATTGGACGCAGACAACCATTTTGTTAAAGATCTACCATCTTGTATCATACTCTGCATATATCATTTTCTCTCCCCTTCCTTTTTTTTTTTTTTTTTTTTTTTTTGAAGGAATGTGGTCTGTGTGTATGCTGAGTTCAGGAGTGCACAGGGCACAGCTGGATAAGCTTCATGGTTGTAAACCCAATTAGCTGGTTCCAGGATGTCAGGCTCTTACCTTGGCCTGGTCGTAAAGCTATAAATCAGTCCATCACTGGACATGAAAAGCATTCCAGAATGGCAGTAAAACATACATCCCACTCGAAACCACTTTTTCATACAATTTCATAAATCCCGCCAGGAACAAGGTACAATAAAACAAAGCATATATTCAGATAGGTCCGTTTAATACGAGTCACCTGATACCTTACACCCCTATGTGGCATCTACACGAGAGTAGAAAGCGATATCTCTTTATCGTGAACGGTAAGATATGTCATATTTGATGTCTGAACGTTCAGGATATCATTCTGCATATTAATCTACCAGTGGCTAGGCTGCTACATGTACCTAGTGAAGGTTATTGACCATGGTATAAATTTGTGAGGGGTTCGGTCATAGCCGTGGTCCCCGCCTAAACACCCCTCCCCAAATGAGGCGATTAGTTCTCTGCTTTAAGGAGTAACCCTGCTGGGTTCCTAGAAAAGAGGCTGTCATGCCTGGAGAAAAATGAAGAGATTCTCCCTTTTAACATCAGGAACCAACTTTGGGGGAAAAGGTACCCTTTTGTTCAGGACACTTGAATCTGCTTAAACCAAGGACTTTGGCAAGTATTCTACCTCCCTAAACTTCTTTCTGTTATCTCTCTGTTGTTTTATTGCTCTCTCTATCTATATATA